GACGAGCGTTCGTTCGCTGGTGGACGAGCGTTCGTTCGCTGGTGGACGAGCGTTCGTTCGCTGGTGGACGAGCGTTCGTTCGTCATCACAGCATCCACTCATCAATTTTTTTAACGCCGTCCAGCCAACTTAACGGAAAGGACTCAATTGATATCAATTTTCAAAATTAAGGACCATTTTGATACACTTTAAAAAACGAGGACGCAATTGAGAAATTCGTACATAAATAGGGATGTAGTAAAGGATTAAACCTAAAATATTATAGGGAAAATATGGTATGAAAGTACAAGGGTAGCCTTTGGCAGAGACATAATCTGTTTTTGGCATCTAGACAGTTAGCTGAAAGGTAACGAACTTAACTAAAGGGAGGAAAATGCTGACTTTCCACTGACCTACTAGAAGAAAGAAAAGTCACAGGCACAGATTAAGAAAAGTGAATTAATGCAGTATGCAAGACTAGGCCTTATTCCAATTCTGGTTTTTCCCTGTCCTTTCTACCTTACCATATGCTCATGGAAATAATATAAATCATCAGGTGAGAAGCTATCTGTGATCGATGTCGATTGAAGGCTCCTTAGCTCCCACTGCACCCGAAAGCTGCAAACCCACCAACTCACTCCTATACACGAATAAATAAGTTTGGGCTTTTGTACAGAGGCAAATTTAAACAAAAAAAAATTATAAATCTAGGCAAAAAAATTTGGAAATTAAGATTTAGACAAGTTGTGAAGCATAAAGAAGTCGTGTTCCTTCACCACTTCATCCTAACAGTAATTAAAGATAAAGTTGTATATTAAAAAACGATTTTAGAACATCATAATCTATTATTATGTATTTTTTCATTATAAACAAATAATAAATTTATATTATTATTAGTTTATAATAAAAAAGGTGTAGTAATCTATTACAATATTCTAAAATGATTTTTGGAGTACATGACTTTTTTATTTGTAGTCGGATTCCATGACTTGTGTAAATCCGTAATTTAAAAAAATTGTTGTTTAGATCCATAATTTTTTTGTTTAAATTTGTCTATATATACTTACAAAAACCATAAGTTTGAGATGATGAAAAAATTGTAAAGTTTGGTGAGCTTCCCCGTTTCATTTTCTTGAGGTTCATTGGCATTGGAGAGTTAATCTTTCAAATTTCACACATGGACAAACAGAAAACAGACATTTCACCTTTTGAAAACCCTCTAAACTAACCAACCCCTTTGGTTCCTCTTTAAGAAACTCACCATTTCTCTCCCTCAAGGACTGATCTTGCCGTCCAAGAGCTCCACCCATGGCTACCCTTTGAGAATCTCCACACAAAAATTACAGAGAAAGAAAGATCATAGTACAAGTTAATTAATGGAGGTTCAATCTCCTTCGGTGAAACGCCCCTATGACATCACCATGTCAAGAAGAACAAGGAAACATCAATTTTCAGTGCAAGGCAACGAGAAACCCAAATCGGCAATGGGTGATGAGAAACTCACAGTGGACACTGCTCAAACCAATGGTATTATTGCTGAGGTGAAACACGGTGGCGAGAGTGACCACAAAAGCTTGAAGCAGTTGATCATAGGAGATGACAATGAAACAAAGGGTAATAATAACAGTGATGAGGGAGGCAAGGGATCAAGAAACTCACTCGGTGAACATTTCACCGAGGAAGAGAAGCAGCATCTTCAGCTGGTTCGGATGCAACAGAAGGACAACCTCCAAGGTTTGAAGTTCAAGAAGTTGGTCAGTCGTTATGCCAAAGTTTTGGGGCATTTGCTGAAGGCTAAGCGTGATCCTCACTTAGGTGATGCAGGGAAAAAACCTCTTTTCAAGTTATCAGCTTAGGAAAATTTTTGCTGATTTCCTTCCTTCATTCATCTGTTTTCTCTCTACTTATTATTACTTTTCTACTTAGCTTTCTCCATCTCCTGTTATACTCTTGCATCTCTGTATCCTTCATGCATATATATATATATATATGGCTTGTATTTTATGCATACTAGTTGTATCATCAAAATATGTCTTATAATATGATTGATATACTTTCTTATACTAGACAATTTCATTCCTCTTAATTTATAAATTTTCTGGCATTACCAAACTAACCAGTTTTCAGTTCTGTGGATTTCTTTCATAATGTTGTTTGACTCAAGATATATAACATCATTCACAGTATAAATTGCACTTCATTTTATAAGTCAGTTTTTAGCATAATAACAAAACTGAGCAAGTAGTTTATGATACATGTATATATCTTGCCTCAAACAAATCGAAAACTGTGAAGTTTTTTACAGAAAGAAAAGGATAACATTATTTTTCAGCTTTAGAGATAAACATTTAAGAAGACTCAAGTTTCAAATGAAGAAAAGGACCATCTTAGAAAAAGCAGTTGCCAATTTTTTGGTGTGGAAAGGGAATTTATGAGTCTCTTTTAATAATTTATAACCTATTAAATCTTAGTTGTAGATGTATTCAAAAGAAGAAAACCCATGTTATTTTTCTTTTCTTCATTTTTAATGTTTTTGATAATTTTGCCAGAACATTTTCTTCCACAATTAATATCCTTTTGTTTTCAAAGTTAATAAAATTGGACAGCAATTTTGTTTAGATTTCGTGATGTTTAAGTTTGAGGTAAGTGTGATGATGGGAAAAGAAGAATAGAGGCACAAGTTTTAAAATTATGAAAAAAATGAATTGATAGGAAATAAGAAAGTTTAGAAAGTAAGACATTTTGATTAATGTTTCCAACCGACATAAGACTTCAAAATGGCCATTTGAGCTACCATCAAATTATAGCCTAGAGAAAACTAATGCACGTACAACTCATGCAACCAAACTTAACACTTTCACATTTATATCAAAGAAATTCTTTATATCAACAAAGAAAATATTAATTTTTTTTATTATTTAAAATTTGGTTAAACATAAATTAAAAATATATATATATAACAACTATAACAAAGAGCTCTTACACCTACCTTATGTATAAATTAATTTTAAAAGTTAGTTTTTTATATTCTTAATTTCTTTGAGAAGTTTTCACATATAAGCTTTATAGTGCCAAGTGGTGCATTTAGTGTAAAAAAACATTTTTCTTTTTCTTATTGGAATGATCCGTTTAAGCTTTTATGAGCAAGGCTATGCTGCAGTGTTCCCAATTTCATTTCATAATTCCTCTATTATTATTCAGTTAAAATTTTGTAGTGGAAAGTCCTAAACACCTTTATTTCAAAGTGTATTCATTAATTTATAAGATGAAATAAGAATAGAAGAAGCTATATTCAAATTATCTTGCCACCTAACTCAACTATTTAAAAAATATATTTTCGATAAATTATTTAGAAAACTTTAATCAAAACAATTTATTGCAGGAAAATTTAAAATTTACTTCATAAATGAATCTCACCTTCAATTGACTCAAAGTTTCTCAAATTACTCGGATTTCAACGATTTCATTATCAAATGTATGATCAAAACAAAAATATAACTGATCGAATTTGACATACCAAAAATAACGTAAACATCTATGTATGACTTATTCTATAAATTTATTGACATTAATATAACAAATCGACTATGCTTCTAAGTTTATGTAACACAACTTGAAAATGGATTGAAAAGGAAAAAATGGTTATATATATATACAAATAATATTTGGTAACTAAATAAACTAAAAATAAGGTTAGATGTGGAAAGTATAAGGAAATTCCTAGGTACAAATAAGATATTTCAAATAAAAAATATATGCTGGTACAAGGTTGCTGTATGGTAGATGCTACGAGAAAGGATAATGGTTATGTTGAGTGAGAAAACTAGACTAATAGTGGTGCTCTCAACGACTTTGANATTTGACATACCAAAAATAACGTAAACATCTATGTATGACTTATTCTATAAATTTATTGACATTAATATAACAAATCGACTATGCTTCTAAGTTTATGTAACACAACTTGAAAATGGATTGAAAAGGAAAAAATGGTTATATATATATACAAATAATATTTGGTAACTAAATAAACTAAAAATAAGGTTAGATGTGGAAAGTATAAGGAAATTCCTAGGTACAAATAAGATATTTCAAATAAAAAATATATGCTGGTACAAGGTTGCTGTATGGTAGATGCTACGAGAAAGGATAATGGTTATGTTGAGTGAGAAAACTAGACTAATAGTGGTGCTCTCAACGACTTTGAGGGATTTGAGAGATTCTGGAAATCCATTGTGTAAGTTACAATCACCCCAATTAGTGAACATATTGCAGGAACAACACCCAAACCATACCTCGTAACTGTAAAGGCAAACTGTGTTCCCTCAAGCTGTGAAGAGATTTCTGCATTCATCATTTCAACAATGTAAAATAAAACGAAGTGAGTTTTCTAATAAAAGAAATTTAAGAAACTTACTTTGGTTTGACTGAAGAACATATAAAGCAATCCCACATGAAATTTTGTCCAAAAAGCTCAATGATCCAACAACAAAAGCACAACCATTAAGGTTCTCTCCAATCAGAAAATTCTGCATGCTTACTCCAGTTACCTGTTAATAAAAATCATTGAAAAGATTTAAACTGTGACAAGATGAATTTATGATACTATGTTAATTAAAAACATTTAAAAACTCAAACCAAGACATCATTTCCACATAAAAATAAGATACATATTTCTTCAACTGTTGTCAATTTAATCAAGTAAACACCATATCTTACCATCATAAGAGCATTTGCTATGCCGATAACTACTGACACTATGTACATCACATAACTCATATTTGCACTCAAAAGAAAGATTACTGCCCCACAAAAAATCCAAAGAATGCATCCAGCAGAGTAATAGGCCTTGAGCATTCTCCCAGTCCATGAAATCTCCTACAAAGGTTAATGACCAATTTAACAGTGGAATTGGAGATTGAAAATATGGAAATGTAATGCAGAAAGATATCCATATGAAGAAACCTGTAACACTAGAGATACAACGAAGCTGCAGATGTATATGAGAGCAGGAACCTGTGCCAAACAACATAAGACAGAGAAATCAGACATGCCATTGTTCAAACTTATTTAAAGCTCAATGGACAAAATTTGTGGAGTACCAAAGCTTTGGCTGATTGGGCCATTTGAAGATCATTGATGACAAAAAAAGCAAGGTATGCCTGAAAAAAAACAAGGTATTTTGGTATCAAAATATCCATTCATATACCATATTATCATGTTTTGTTCGAAATTCAAATGCAAGAGTTATGTTTCTGAAAGATTGTCTAACACTATATTCAACCTTAACATTGAGAACACATATTAAGCCTATCCTCTTCCAAGATAATGAACACAAACATGAAAGAAAGAAAGACAGACTGCTAACCTGAGAAACATTGAGAACCAATCTTGTGATCACGTAAATTAGAGCAACCTGGTAATACAGAATTCTCTTGAACCAGTAATTCCATGAAATCCTTGCATGAACCTTTCCATGTACACCTACCTTTAACCTAAGAAGAAAACAAACTCAATTCTAAATTAGTTGCTGAAACTACTCATGCAGCCTAGTTTGTAAGAACTTAGTGAGAGATATAATTGACTTGCATGAAAAATAGCTTTGTTTGGTTTAACTTCTACAATTATAAGTTCTCTCTATAAGGTAGCCGCTGAGCTTATTAATGCTTTCAATTAATCTGGATGCAAAGGGGGAATTCAAGCATTCCTTTCCTCATATCTACCACTTAAACATACACTTAAACATACAGCATCTTGATAATGTAAAGAGTATGTACAAGATCATGGTATATCTACTATAGTTTGTGAGAGAAAAATGGCTTTAATCCAAGGATAGTGACAGAAGTAAGCCAAGAAGCACACCTGGGCTCTTTGGTTGCAAGAAGAAATACGCTCACAAAGCAACATCCAATAAAAATAGACAGAAATGCAATCCAACGATACTGCTCATTTGAAGGACAACAAAGTGATTATGCATAACAATAGATAATTAAAGATGGATCCGAATAATTACTGTAATACATACCTGATTTTGAACATCAGTATGTATTTTTCCATCAATGACACTGAATACTATCAATGCAACTGCATACAAACTCAAGTTGGCAATCTTGTAAAGAGAATTAATTACATACATTAGTAATTAATAATATTAATGTATTGATTTGTATGGAAAGTTCACTAGAAGCTTTACCATGGTAAAAGCATTGCGACAGCTAGCCAGTGCCACTCTGCTTGTCGAGTTCAGTGTGATGCAAGTCACCATGGACCTTCAAGAGAACAATAAAAATTGGTGAGCTTATGCTAACTTGAAGAGCTAGGAGCCTGTGCCTTTTTCATTAGATTCTTCTTTTATCCATGTAAATTATCAGATTAGAGAAGTTCACTGGTGTTACTTGGTTTATAAATGAATGTTGCTTCAAATCATTCTGAGACTTGGTTATTAAAGTGGCATTTAGCTCTGGCAATTAAAGATGAAATTACAAAAATCAAACATCATTGTTACAATCAGTATGCCAAAAACATCACAAAGTAAACCACTTCTATTTTGAAATTCAAACTTATAGTTATATTTTTTAGCATCAAATGAAAATAAATAAATAAATAAATTTGATGAAATTATTACATGTGTGAAACCTGAGTAGCAGCCCAGCCCAGGTTGAAGATTGCTGCAAATATGCTATAACTCACAGTTTCAAAAGTAGATGAATAGGAACTAAAAATTTTACAAGGTAAACAAACCCCAAAAACTGAAGAAAATGAAACAGCCACCAATACAGAACCGGCACCATGCCATATCTTGAAGTGTCCAAATCTATCTATCTGTCAAGCAAGGCGAAATAAATGAGCATGCCAACCGAAATAAGGCAGGTCTGAAGCACATAATAGAACAAGGGAAAAGAGCAGCATCAAGGAAAAGAAAAGTGAAATTTTTCAAATTTCTTAGATTCTGTTTGTCATTTCTGGATAAAATCACTAATGAGATGAAGATTAAATTATTTGAATGAATTAGGTGAAGAAATGCAGTAAATTTTACTGTTTTATCATACAGCGAAGGTTCATCGGATAATATCAGGAATTAAGAAAACCATCAAGTAAATTCAGCATTGTCTCCAGAAAAAAAAATCTGGTTACCCAGTTATTATGCAGGGTAAACCTATACACAGTAAGAGCACCACTCTCTGACACAAGGAGGTATAGAAAAGAGAAAATGAAGTCAGATGAATGTGACCTATAAGAAGCATATAAAATATTTCCCTAGAATGAACGGAGAAAATAAGGCTTAAATACCAGTTCTCCAATAAATATGGTGGCAAATCCATCAGCCACTTGACCTGAAAGCATCACAGCAGCTGCATTCCTGTGAAACGGGCAGCAAAGAAATGTCAAAAAAAAAAATTTGGAAGCATCCAACAGATTTTTATGCAAGATCTGAGAGTATCATGCTTTTTTATCCGGAGGTACAAATTGAATGCATTTTATGCCTCAAAAACCTTTATCATATGTTTGTCCAAAATGATTGGAGGCATTGGTAGGCCTACTGAACATGGACCTACAAATGTTGTGGCAGATGCAAATATGACCAAGTGGCTAAGGGTGTCCAAAGGAGGACGAAAATATGTAATTCGTATGTGGGTGCAAGTTGGTTAGGATTTGCTATTTGAGTCTTGGGAAAAAGGGGTTTTTGAGGTGAAGGGGTATCAGTTATTTACCAAGTGAATTGACACTCTCCTTTGGTCTTGAAATTGTATTTTTACTACCTGCCATGTTAACTCTGTTTTAGTTAGCCATCAATATCAGTCATTTTTCTGTCTCCTTTCGTTTTCTATAGCAGGGTAAATACATATCACTAGAAGCAACCTAAGATGTAGAAAAGGGCATAGTATGGTATGGTAAACCGTAAATCTAAAGGAATGCATATAACCAAAATTGTTAGTGAGAAAAACCAGCACAATGTCAATGTCACCTACCATAGTACTCTTAGTCACACCAGTGGGTTACTTCTAACAGGCTACCAAGTTCCCCTCAGGCCAAGGTAACAACATTGTTCAGTTCACAGTATGTTCACTACAGAACAAAAAACTAAGCCATCTAAACCAACTGAAAGTATCTCTTTTTCTGGAATAGTTGCTGATAAAATTTATAAAACTAGCATGCTTGTCCAACAATTTTAAATATTATACAACAGTTCAAATATGTCAGGTCTATATTTTCCAATTTTCAAACAACAGTCAACAAGCAATTAGACAACACTTAGCTAAACGAGTTGATAAGTGGAAAAAAATATATTAAATGCACCTTGGTGAAAGTCCAATATCTGTCAAGAACAATAATAAATATGTGAACCAACAAGCTGCAGTTATGTCATTGAGCATGTGTCCCATTCCATAATAAAAGATAGGCCATCTTCCCAAGATCCTGGTATACATGTCATCTGCTTCAATGATAGTACCCATTGTAGGGCCCTTAATCAGAGCTATTACCAAATATAAACCTGCTAGGAATAAATGCAACACTTTAGCTTGCAATCCTTTTCAATTTTTCTCTCGCTTCATGTTGCTTACTTATTTCATCTCCCATACTGCAGGTAAAAAAACAAACCCAAATGTTAAAACTGGGGAAATAAAGGGTTCAGGGAGGAGAAAATGAAAGGAGATTACAGATTTTGGTTCCTCCTTCATGTAGTTTAGAACTTAAAAATTCATCCCTTTCATAAAACTAAACCAAAATAACATACTTTTCAAGCATGAAAAAAAAAAACATTATACATGACAGGAACAATGATACTGATAGATCATATTATGTACGGAAGCAATTTTCCCTACTAAAGAATGGGTGACGAATCCTATTCCTAACAGAAGTTTCATCTGGTACTTAAAAAAATTTCACATTACGATAATTCGAAACCACTTCATGGCAAAGATTGAAAACAGATCATAATCTTTACACGACATATTATACAGGAAAACTCTAAACACAGAAAGCGAACCACAAAACCCAAATCCAAGAATTTCTACTGAAGATAAAATATCCTAAAAGAGTCATTTTTACACAACACAACCATTTGAAAATGCCATCAAATGCACTCACACCACTCTGAATTAACGGAAAAGTTCACACGTGATTGAGCAGCGACAAAAACCACACCCCCACAGACCTCAAAACCCCACCTTTTTCAATAATACCCAGAATCTAAAACACAAAATTCAAAACATTCAAAGAAAAAATGCAACAATTCCACGAGAGGATTTGTGATCACATACAGAAACAATTTGCTAAGCTAGCAAAAGCACCCCATCATGAAAAGCACGTCCTTTTCACAGTCTGACAAACCAAAGAATCCGAATATGGAAGCCAAGTTGGTTAAAACAGAGGAAAGAACCCCAAGATGGCGACTTCAAAACACTTTGTAAATAACCAACGAAAAACGAAGATGTCATCTAGTTAACTATATCCACAAGACAACCTATCTTCACCATAGAATTGGAATAGTATGTTATGTGTGTAAAAAAACCGATAGAAAACATGTTCTCAATCAATAACAGTTTGTCTTGTTCAGGAGCCTTCGCTTTGCTCGAACCGTTGTGTGCGGTAGAACGGTGGCGGTTCGGTGGGAACTGAGAGTTATAAAATGACAACAATGTCCCCACCTTGACGTGTAACACACTTCATCGGATCCGAATGCCATGTTGTAACATGGTGTGATGCATTCCTTTGTTGAATAATAACTCCTGTGAGAAGTACTAGAATGAAAGCAACCTTCAAATATACTTTTACTTCTATTTCCAATAATTTTAGGAACACGTAACTTTGTTTTTTGTGGAATATTTTAGTTACATAATTAATTACCCTTAGTTAATATATTATTTCGTTATTGATGAAAAATAGTAAAGTATTTGTCGCAATAAGACACTCTTTTTTGATACATAATTTCTTTAATTTAAAAAAGAATAACTAAATGTAAATAAATTGTGATTTAAAAGAATAAATGATCAAATAATTAATTTAATTTAAAATAACAATTATTTGAAAGGGTGAGTGTGAGAATCCTATTTTTTACAAAAATCCATTTTGATTTCTTTGGATAAATTTTATTGCAGTCATTTATGTTTCTTTTTTCGTCAACCAAACCTTAACATTTTTCTCATTCAAAATACTATAATTTGATACAATGCGAGCTCATAAACAGTAAGTTGAGGTCGCGAATGTTGGATTTCGTTTCGTCCCTAAACAATGTCATTGTGAAATCTACTTCTAAAATCGTAGTTAAACTCAAGGTCTTGAAAGGTGTAAGTCCTGGAAAAATTCAATGTAATAAAATAATGATGTGAACGTGTTAGTGAGTTTTTTTAATAAGAAAGTGCATGCTCTTCACAAGTGTTATGTAGCTTGGTTGACAAAAGTACTTTGTTATGGAATTTATGGTCTTGTCTTTTATTTCTATGTGTGCAATGATCTATTTTTTTAGGGTATTTTATAGAATCTATAAATTTTTTGTAATAAAATAAATGTGAATTATAAATATACTCTATATTTATATGTTTGATTGTGCTTTATATCAATCGGGTAATATCTCATTTAACAAGAAATTTAGCTAAAAAATGGGTGTAACATTTTGATATCGGAGTAGTTCGAATCTTAGGTAAACGGTGGAAAGTAGGGTGTTATGTTTTTGTTGTGTAAGTTGTATGTATATATAAAGTGAAAATTGTGTAAGAATTTTAAACAATTCAACCTCAAGAATGGCTAGAAGAATATAGATTTCTTGTGTGTTTATTGGTGTGTAAAATTCGTGTAGGTCCAATTTGGTTGATTTGGTTGGTGAAAACAATAGTATTAAGAGAAATAATCTAGAATTAGTGAGAAGGACACACACTCGTAATAAAATCTAAGATAATTTTTTGTCAAATATTTTTTCTAATGATTGGATTGAAGATGGTCATGTGATTTACATTATAGTGTATGTTTTGGGTTGATTGTCTTCATATTGTGACTAATTTTATTATGAACAAATATTTGATTTTAATGTAGGAAGTTCCTTTGCATTGAATACTTTGGTTGTAGATTTTGGAGTTGTATTTTAGGTTAAAAGTTTTGCATGAACAATTGTTTTGGTGTAGCATTATATATATGTGGTAAGTGTTACATCAATACATGCACTCATAATTTTATACGGCATTTTCAAACATGCAACTTCTTTTAAGTTATTGATTTTTAAACTTTGTTGATTTTAAACATATAATCAAAACATTCATGATTTAGCATAGTGAGAATGAGTTTCTTAAATAATTATTTTTACTCAAAGAATTTTTTAGTTATTTTTAAATAAAATTATATAATAAAAATATTTTAATTTACTAATGATTAAACTTGTCCTACAAAATATATATTAAATAAATCACAAAAGATTATATCTTTAATATAGGTCTATAAAAGGTAAAATAGTCTTTTTAGAAATTATATTACTTAATTAAAAAATTTACTCTTTTGTATAATAATAAGGTATAAATTATTCGATTAAATATATTTTTAAATTTTTAAATTATAATTTTTCTTTAACTTAAATTTTGATACATTTATTTTTAATTAAAAATAAATAGATATAATATTTTTAAATCAATTATGTTAGCATTTGAGTTATTTATGTTTAACATATTTTCATTCAGTATCAATCGAAAAATGCATAACAGAAAAAAAATCCTTGCCTTCCCCTTCCTTCTCTTCCTTTCTTTTTCCCCTTTCCCCCCTCTCCCCCTATACCCCCCCTTTTGCCCCCCACTCTCCTTTCCCCTGCGCATGAGCCTCCCCCCCTCTTTATCCGTCCCTCTCTCCTCCTTCCCCCCCTTCCCTATTCCCCTCTTTCCCCATGCCCCCCTACCTCCACCCCCCCTCTCTTGAACGTCCCCTTCCTCTTATTTAAATTAAATAGATAATTGACTACTATAGTGGGGTTCCAATTTATAAAACGGTTACAGATTTCTTTTTTATTATACACTTTATAATATTTTATAGCGCATAATAGATAATAGTTTATTTTTATTCAATATTAATAAAATATATATACCAATATAACTTATATATAATTTTATTATTATTATTATTTAATGACCACAATTAAAATTAATTATTGAGGTTTTATCCGCTTAAATTTCGGAAATTTAACTATATTAATGAGTTTTAATTCACTGCTTGTTTTCTTTATTACGTGAGTTGAATTCTCGTTAACTGTTAGAAAAAGGTCCTTCTATAGTTACGGATAAACAATTGGTAGAAAAACTTAAATAAATTTTTGAAGATAGATATATACATAATAAAGACGTGGTTGCCACTTATTGCATTATCAGTTTTGATTTAAGGTAAGACTCTTAAGAAAGTCGTTTTGGCAATATTTTAATTTTATTTAAAGTTTTAGTAAGCGTTTTATGATTTAGGATGTACTCTCTTTTATATTTTCATTCTTCACTTTGAGATAATTTTAAATGTTATAAATTAATTATTAAATATGTATTTTTGTCTTCTAATAAATGGAATCAATACAACAGAATCTGGTACTGGATAGCTACCATATACGATATTATATTTATGCATTCAATATACAAACCGTGATCTATATTTTATTATAATATTCATTACTATGCAATTTAAAGTTTTTCAAAATAAAAAACAGCCATAAATAAATGACTTGTTGAAAATAACGTCATTCTCCTCTTGAGAATATTTTTTACTGGCAATTATAAACGTTAATATAATATTCTTAAAAATAATGTATATATGAATTAAAGCCGTATGGTTTGTGGCCAAAAATATAAATGATATTATAGAGTGATTAAATTAATATAATACAAAAATAATAAAATAATATTTCTTAAACATTACAAATAATAATAATATATACATTGAAAATTTAATAAAAAAAAGAAAACATCATTTTTCTGCTTTACTCATTCTTACAATGTTTTCTCACATATCCCGTGTTTTTTATGATTCGTATGATTCATCACTATATGTATAACTTGTTATATTCCGACATCAATACATATATTTGAATTGATCGAATCTAGAAATCATATATGCTGATATTGAATTTAGTTTGGAAAATGAATTAATTGTATATGATATTGTATAATTACAATGAACTGTATCTTTTAATATTAGTTTATTTTTCTTGTGTCTTGTTTGTTTATACTTGTTTATACTTTTGAAATGTTTAATTCGATGATATCAACAAATGAAATAAGATTTCTTTCTAATGGAGGTGATGGTGCAAATACTCAGTGATTAGTATATAATGTTTTCCTTTTTGGATTAAAGTTCTAGAAACCTGTTATCATAAGTAAATAGTTCATTTGAATTATAATTATTTAAAATAGCTGTATGAATATTTTATATACCTTCTTAGTCAATTGTTTTAGTTTTATTAACTTTGTGATATTTCTTTAACCGTGTTCCTATTAATAATAGGATGTTAAAAAAATAGTTTTACGTGTCATAATTTGGAGTTTCAATATATTCAAGACAATTAAATTTTGTATATTAAAATTATTAGTTTCACGCTTTTAGAACATTTTTTCACCTAAATTTTAAACTCTTTTAGAAATTTACGTTTCAGAATAAATATTTCATAATATTAAAATTATTTTAAAAAATATATTCTGGATGAAAACACTAAACTTTTGTTTCATATTTTATTATAATGCCTTCGAATATGTAAAGTATGAATCTATTATGGATATTTTCTTTTTAGAAAGTATAAAAATTTAAAAGGTTTGTTTTTTATCATTTTACTTAATATAGAGGAGTTGCAAAACGTAATGGCAAGCAGGCCATATACAATTTCCTTTTTTTCTTAATTTATAGGTTATGAGAAGACTTTTTTGTAGGGAACTTTTTTGTTTTTTATCATTTTTTTCTTAATTTATAAGTAATTTTATTTTTCATTTTGTTTTTTTTTTGTCATTGTATATTCGAAGTATTTTTCCATATTATGAAATTAATTACTTTTTCTTATCTTTTTTTCTTATTATTTCTGGTGTTGCACCCATAGATTACTAACTACAGAACATATGTTAATTTTTTTATTTACTGATCCCCATTTTTCCTGAATCACAGCCCCCACATTGATAGCATTTGCCATCATTTAAGCCAAAAAACTAGGGGTTTTTTTATTGTATATGAAACAAATGGTATCACAAAAGCACACAAAATAAAACCTAAATCATAATCTTTGCTACAGTGAAACAAAGTCACAGTAATACCAAAACAACAAGAGCCCTACTTTAAAGACTAAAATCACATTTGTAACTATACAAAAGATAATACTATATTTGAAAGTTTTGTTTTTTTAAATATTGTTAATATGAATTATTTGTCTCCCAAGTCTATTTAAGCATGTATTTGGATAAAACTTTTCACAAATTAAAAATAAAACAGTGTAATTTAAATCGCTTTCATTTTCAACCAATTCTAATTTTCAAATACGTTAATTTGAGTAAAGCAAATTTTAATTTATTAAATTTTAATTTCTTGTCTACATAGAATTTTTCAATAACTATTAAATATAAAATATATTTTGATATGAAATGATATTTATAATAAAAGTTGATTAGTGGTTTTCCATTATTGATATTATTGATGTTGCTTGGGGTTATATTTTGATAATAGTTTAGAATTTTTTTCATTTAATATGAGGAAATT